ATTCTTTCCTCTTCTAATATAAAACTTCTAGTAGAATTTTAAATTTTTCTCTGTATTATATATAGATATTTTGCCTGTGTGTATATATACATATATATACATAACACATATATACATACACATATGTATATCTGTACCATGTGCGTATGTGTGTGCAGGTCGCAGAGGTCAGAAAAAGGCCATCAGAGCCTCTGAAACTGAGGTTGTGAGCTGCCATGGAGGCAAACCAGGGCCCTCTGCAAGAGCAAAAAGTACTCTTAACCACGGAGCCATCTCTCTACCCCATTATTTTTATAGCATGTGTTGTGTCTGTGTGTGGGCGGGTATGTGCAGGTGACTGCAAGTGCCCTCGTAGCTGTCATATGTTAAGAGGGTTTGGGTCCTGGGAACGACTCAGTTCCCCTGTCCAGTCTCTTTACCTGTCAAGTCATCTCTTCAACACCAATGAATTATCTTTGTAAATTTTATTTGTTTGCTTCTCTGTACATCCCTGAGGAAGAAGTGGTGCATGCCTTTAGTACCAGTACTGGAAGAGGCAGAGGCAGGTGGATCTCTGTGAGTACGAGACCAGAATGAAAGGCCCACAGAGCAAGTTCTAGGACAGACATCGCCAAAACCCCATCTCCAAAAACCGAAACAAATGAACAAAAAGTCATACACATAACAACAACAAAAACTCAGCTTATTTGCTTCTCACTAAATGGAACTGGAAATTGAGCCCACCAAATTAGGTTACTTACGAACAAGATCTCTAAACCAAGAGTCGCACAAATTGCAACAGAGAAACACAAGAAATGTGAAAGGGCGGGCTGGAGAGATGGCTCAGAGGTTAAGAGCATTGCCTGCTCTTCCAAAGGTCCTGAGTTCAATTCCCAGCAACCACATGGTGGCTCACAGCCATCTGTAATGGGATCTGGTGCCCTCTTCTGGCCTGCAGGCATACACACAGACAGAATACTGTATACATAATAAATAAATATTTAAAAAAAAAAGAAAGAAATGTGAAAGGGCAAGGCCACAAGACTCCCTCAAAGAGCCTAAGGAATTCAGACTGAGTGGGTGGCATGCCAGATGACCTCAAAGTTTAACAGCAAAAGGTGATCAATATCCTAAAAAAAAAAAAAAAAAAAAAAAAAAGCTATAAACACATGGGTGAATTAGGGAAGAAATACTAGCACCTAGAAGAAAGCCAGCAGCAAAGAGGAGGGACAGACAAACATGACGAAAGTGTTAGCCATATAGCTAAACAGGCAAAATGAAAGAGAAATTCAGTAAGTCAATAGAAATAAAAAAAAAAATGCCAAAAATGAAAATTTACGTAAGTCAAGGGTCAAGATGGCTCTGAGGAGATGCTCAGTAGTTAAGAGCATTGGCTGCTCTTTCAGAGAACTGGGGTTCTTCGCAGCACCCACTGCAGCTCATAGCTGTCTATAACTCCAGTCCCAGACAGTCAAAATCCTCTGGTCTCCATGGTACCATGCAATTGGTACACAAACATACACGCAGAAAAAATACTCAGGCACATAAAATAAAAATAAATCTTATTAAAAAGAAAAAGACAAGGTCAAGGAAACACTACACTCAAACAGAAAAGTTTTTTTTTCAAAGAAACCAAACCAAACTAAACCAAGCATGACTGCAGTGTTCAAGAATTCCAGAGTATGACCGAGAAACCAAACTCAAGAATTTTGAAGATAGAAGAAGCTGAGCCAGAGAACTAGGTCAATAAAATCATAGCAGAAAAAACTCCTCAAACCCAGAGAAACAGACACCCAAACAGAAAAGTCACTTAAAATGCCTGCATTAACACCAAGAACTTGTTCAGAGAACACATGGTGGTCAAGTATGGGTACAAAGTAAGGACGCAGCAGGGAAAGTTCTTAGGAAAACCACCACCTTACTAACAGTTCAAACTTGTGAACAGTAACACAACCTGCACCACAAACACAAAAACATCCACGGAATGCAACTTGCTTGTCTGTGGCTACCCAGGGTCTCAAAACAAACACTGGGTTATCTGAACACTAACAACCAATTAGATAGATCCACACCTTACACTTTGATTAAAAAAAAAAAAATGGATCAAAGCCCTTAATGTAAACTGCTAGAGGAACATAGTATAGAAAAATGAGAAAACCTCTGACAATTACCTATCAAAGATCAATATCCAGACTCTATGAAGAACTCAAACAAAAATCCTATCACTAAATGGGATAATGAATTGGACATTCTCAAAGAAATATAGAATGATCAATAAACATTTGAAAGGGTTCCACATCTTTAGGCATTAGTGAGATGTAAATTAAAACCACACTGATGTTTCATCTTATACCCACTGAAATGGCTACAATAAATAAGCAAATAAATAAATAAATAAAGACATACAGCAAATGTCAGCAAGGATACTGAGAAAAGAGGAACTGCTTTTGCTGATGATGGGAACAGCAACCATGGAAAACAGCAGTTTCCTCAAAAAAACTAAAAATAGAATCACCATATGGTCTAGCTGCACCATTCCTAGGCACACACACAAAAGATCCTAAGTCCAAATACTTCCATGTCCATGCTCGTTGATACACTAATTCCAACACCAATGGATGGAACTAGCCCAGATATCCAACAGCAGATAGGTGGATAAAGAAAATGTGGTCCATTATAAAATGGAATTTTATTCATTCAGAGAGCACGTGTGGAAATGGACAAAGCTGGAGCTGTATTAAGGTGAAGTAAGTCAGAAAGATACCACACACTTTCTCATATGTAGGACCTAGATGTAAATTATATAGACATTGTAACACATCAAAGTAGAAAGGAAGGGCAGGTGTGAAGGTGTTGCAAAATATTCCTTTATGTAAAGATGATGATGATGATGAGATTTAGATGCAAAACTACATACAGCCCACTGCTCCACTGTATTTGCCAACAGTTTAGAGGCGGGGTGGGTAAGGTGTTTTTGTTTGTCCGTTTTTATTTTTGTTGTTGTTATCTTTGGGACAGGGTTTCTCTATGTAACCTCCCTGGCTGTCCTAAAGCTCTCTTTGTAGAACAGGCTGACCTTGAACGCAGAGACCCTTTTGTTGCTTGTCTCTGCCTCCCGAGTGCTGAGATAAAAGGTGTGAGCCACCCTTGCCCAGTATGTGGTGTATTCTTAGAGTACAAAACTAGATAAACTACATAAGATGTCATAAGTAAATATGTTACATAAAGATAATAAAAATATTTATAAAGATGGTGTTTAAAACAACTAAAACACGTAACAGATAAGTTTATTTACCAAAAAATACATAAAAAATAAGCAAACAGCATGTAAAATAATTTGAAGAGGCTAATAACAAAGATTCACTGAAAAAAAAAACCACCAACAACAAAGATTCACTAAAAACACATTTCTCTGTTGCTGAATTCTACCTAAAATTTTAATCAAATGACCATGGACAAAACTAAGTGAAGCAATGCTTCTGTGGGTCTTTCACTGTTGTTTTCTGCTACAGTTGAGAGTCAGTGGGTCCAAGTGACTGTTGCCAAGTCTGGCAATCTGAGTTTAATCCTCAGGAACCACACAATAGAAAGGGAACCAAATGCAGCAAGTATATGTATAAGCCTACACAACACATGAAATCAAATAAAAAACTTCCACATTCCTAGTTCAACACAGTGGTGTACACCCTGAGTTCCACACAGGAAACAGAGGCAGGTGGATCTCTGAGTTCAAGTAAATCTAGTCTACACAAGGAGCTCCAGGATGGTCAAGACTGTGCAGAACCAACATAAACAAACAGATTTCTAGAAGTGAAGTATAGGCACTCTGACCACCTGGTGACAGTGCGAGTAGGGAAGAGTCCATGGGGAATAAAGCCTACCCAGTAAACAGACATGGAGGATAACAGCTTATTTCTAAAGGGGACATTTCATATACGACACTAAAAAATATAGCTGCTGAAGTTTCCACCAACACCACAAAAGTAAATACAGTGCAGGATGAAGTGTCTGTCTGAAATGAAACTGAGCTGTACTTGTAAATGCAGAATTTAATCAAAAAGTAAATTCATGTCAGCTCTCTGGCTACAGAGTTGAAAAGAGCCTGTGGGATGGAATATTATGACTCGACTAATAGCTATAATCTGCTCTGACGTCTACTTACTTTTGAGTGATCGATTATTTTAGGCAATAATTTCTAGTTATATGCCAATACATCTGTCTATTCTATGGAAATACATGAAAAATTAACAACAACAAAAATAAAACAAAAATCAAAGGAACTGACAATTCACAGAAACAGCAATACCTTCTGAAATAAAAGTTAGGGATATCAACCAACAACACCAAAAACAAAAGCCAACAAGTTCAACAGCTCAGGGAAACACAGGAGATGTGATATATTTCCATTAACACACTGCACTTATAATTTGTTAGGGAACTGATGACAATCGGCTTCCTCAAGACTAATTCATCTTTTAATAGTATTCTGACCACTACAAGGCAGCATCATTTTAGGAACTGCTAAGGTGAAAATAAATACCAGTCCAATCTAACTAGAGGTCTACCATGTCATTTCATGGTATATAAAAAGGTTCCGGTGCCTGTGTTAAATGACTGCCCACTCTCTACAACTAGATCTAAAACGTTTAAAGTGACAATAGTCAACAATTTAATGAAAACATGCTTTCATCACAATTCAATCAGTTTATCCATCATAGGATGAAAAGCAAAAGAAGAGGACAGAACTGAACCTGAAAACAGAAGTAGACAAGAAAGAGGATATCTTGTTTAAAGTTCAAAGAACATCAGCTAATCTTGTTCACCACAATGGACACGGGTATGTCAACATTGCACAGGGAGAAGAATTTTAATTATTCAGCTACAGATGAAGGTATTTGGATGTGACAAAGCAGATAACTTAAAAAACAACTTCCCCGAATTATTCTTGGTCTTAAACAACAGAATGTAATGGTCTATCAGGCTTCAATCAGCTTATACCATTAATGATGCCATATACACACCTTATTTTGGGACTACTGTGCTTGAAAAACTGTAAAAATTTGGGAATCATGATGTTGAGAGGGCGATCTAAAACATCACTATCTAAAATCTCAGCAGAGTCTTCACATATCTTCTGAAGGGCACCAAATGCTCCCTGTAAGAGACAGATGCATATTAGAACTCACTGAAAACAACTGCTAACGGAAGGCGGTGGCACTCCATTTGCAATCCCAGCACCGGGAGGCTGCGGCATGAAGACCACCACACTAGCTTGAGACCAGTCTAGACAACATGGCAAGACCCCATTCTCAAAGGAAAAAAACAAGAACAAAGCAAAACAAAGAAAAATCAAGATGTGTGGACTACTAACTAATTTAGGCAAATTTAATTTCTCAGCCTACAACCTTTATAAAACTTAAAAACAAATTGATTTCAGAGTATCAAAATATCATCCTAAAGTATTTAACTTTTAGTATTAAGTAAGTTAAAACTGGAAAATATTTTGATTAGTTGGGATGTAATAAATAGCATCTAAAATTTCTAATTCCACTGAAATATCAATTTTAAATCTATATGAAAATTATCTTATTAAATGCTAAAATAAATTTTCTTTTTTTGGTTTTTCAAGACAGGGTTTCTCTGCAGTTTTGGAGCCTGTCCTGGAACTAGCTCTTGTAGACCAGGCTGACCTGGAACTCAGAGATCCGCCTGCCTCTGCCTCCCGAGTGCTAGGAATAAAGAGGCGTGCACCACCACCGCCAGACTGCTAAAATAAATTTTCACAGAAATGTATTTAACCACTGTAACATGAATTCATTTTGTAATATATCTTACCAATAATTTTTGAAACAATCATATACAAGCCATATATTGGGAAACTGACAACATAATAAAGTAACAGGAGATTCAAGTTGACAGCTACTTCCCCTAATCATCTTGGTAATAAAAATGACAAAACACAACAACAAAAATCTCCAAACAACAATGAAGCCAGATTCCATTAAAAAACAAACATTTAGAAATATTGTGTGAGGATCTAGAAAGCCTGCGTCTTTAGCAGAGCAGCTTACAATCACTATAGTTTACAATGTCACTGTGTTCCCAGGGTTGCAGCATGCCCTAAGAGTGACTTAGGAGACTAATCTCCCAAGTTCCCCTCTCTTCTCTCCTGGACCACTAGTCATAAAACCACCTGATGCCATCTTGTTCACTTATACCTCCAAGCCGTGCTGCTGTCAAGTCAAAGCATCTAAGATGGGTTTCCGCCCATGTGGCAGCACACAGCTCCCACGCTAGCACTCTGAAGCAAAGGTAGTAGATGGATCTCTATGAGTTCTAGGCCACCCAGAGCTACACTGTAAGACTCTCTATTAAATAAATAAAGACAAAAAAATTCGGCTTGCTATTAAATCAAATAGTACAGTGTTCATCAACATTGAGAAACTAAGAAGGGAATTCCAACTGGGCATGCTGGCTCCTGCCTGCAATCCCAGCCGTTGGGAGGCAGAAGGCCTAGAAGAGGAGTTCAGTGTTACACGAGACTGTCTCAAAACACAAACCCAAACATTTTCTTCATTTCTCCAAACACAACAGTTTTACAGATTTTACCAGTGGTGATAAATAATTAAAACAACAACAACAACAACACATGCAAAGTAAAACCTAAGAAACTACAACACAAAATCAAGAGAACAGAAGTAATGTATGATTAAAAATGTTCATGTCAGGCTGGCATGATGGCTCAGCTGTAAAAGGCTAGGATCAAAATAAAAATATATAAAAGTGTTTATGCCTCTTATTGTATGTCATTTAGAGAAACTAAAAACAATTTATGGTCTGGTATTTTGGTAAATTTAAAGGTTTACCTTTAAATATATAAGACATCAATGAGGGGCTGGAAAGGTGGCTCACCAGTAAGGTAAGAATGCTTGTCACTCTTGCAGAGGACCCAAGTTTGGTTCTCAGCACCCACACAGTAATTCAAAACCACCAGTAACTCCAGTTTTAGGGGAATCTGGTGACTTATTTTGGCGTTGAGAGCATACATGCAGTACACATACAGGCACGCAGGCAAAAAGCTCCCAAATTAAAAAAATTTAATTTAAAAAATTTATTTGATTAAACATAAAAACAGCTTTAATCACATGCATGGAACATTTAAGAAAAACTTTACAGAGACAATGCATTTCCTTATAGGAAACAGTGATGATTTTTGTCACATTATTTTCAGAAAACAAGTAAAACGTAACAAATATAAAATACAAAGACAACTTTAGGCTTCTGAGCTTTGAAGTTGTCTATTTGAGAAGTATCTTCCTGAAGGTTAACACATGCTATGAAAGAACAGACCTAAGAAGCAAGCAGCCTCACCTCACAAGTGTTGTAATCCTCAGAATCCAGCAGGCTACAGAGCTTTGGTAAGAGATCAGGCCAATTCTGCAGTTCTCCCTTGGAGGCTATGGTTGTAATTAAAATACCTAGAAAGACACACATTTGGAGATTACGGCACTGTGTGTGAGGCATGCACAAACACACTTCAAAACATGCCAAGAGGCCCCAACTGCAATCAGAGTTACATTAAAGATATCACTCTTATTAGCCTTTAGGCAAGAATCAGTTAGGTACCGAGATCTTATTCCTCATGTCAACTATTCTTTCCTAAAGTTAAAATATAACAAAACACAGGGACTCTGTGGTCACTAAAACTGTAATCCCAGACTTGGAAGATGAATGCAAGACCCAAGAGTGCAAAGTCAAGCCAGGCTCAGTGATGCACACCTTTAATCCCAGCACTTGGGGCACAGAGGCAGGTAGGTGATCTATCAGTTTGAGGAAAGCCTGGTCTATAGAGGTCTTCCAGGACCACACAGAGAAACACTGTCCCCCCAAAAACCAACCAACCAAGGGGACAAACCAAACAAAACTTCAGAAACACCAAGTGGACTAAACAGACACACCTACAACTTGAATGCCATTGCATTTGCTAGGGAAACATTAAAGAATGGTGACAGAACTCCAAATTTATAGAGTCCCATAATTCTACCCACTCCAGAAAAAAAGAATACTAATACCAACAAGAGCTTAAAACTTGAAAACTGACATAATTTTCAGTGTTTAGAACTATGAGAGTTGGGCATAATGTCACATGCCTGTAACTCCCACACTCAAGAGGAAGCAGAGGGATAGGTAGTTGACTTGGATTCCTGAGACCATATCTCACAAAAACCAAAAGATTATAAGAACCATAATTATGTTTGATAATACTTATTCAAACCTTAAGAATTTAAAAGAATTTTTTGGGGGATTGAGAGATGGCTCAACAGTTAAGAGCATTCAATCCCCAGTACCCACATGATGGCTCACAACTATGTATAATAGGATATGATATCATCTTCCAGCATGTAGGGATACAGGTAGAGCACTCATACATAAATCATAAATAAATAAAATTAAAAAAAAACACTTTGGTTCCAATAAGGTTATTTCTATGAATTACTCTTAAACTTTTTCACAAGTGTATAAGCATACTTAAACAATATTTATTGGAATAGTAAAATTATAAACAAGCTATATTATTATATAAGCTATATTATTATATTATTTTATAAGGTAAGCAATTCATTCATCCAAATGAACTAGCATGAAATCATTAAAATAAAGTACCTTTCCAATAAACTTTCTGGACAAGATTCACAAATACTTTAGAAAACACGAAAAGGAAGAAGTTAAACTTAGGTGCAGCGGGCATACGCCTGTAACTGCAGCACAGGGGTGAAGAGAAAGCAAGAGCTCATCTCAAAATAAACTTCAAAATTTTTAAGCTGGGTGGTGGTGCACGCCTTTAATCCCAGCACTCAGGAAGCAGAGGCAGGAGGATCTCTGTGAGTTCAAGGCCATCCTGGTATACGAGTGAGTTCCAGGACAGGGTTCAAAGCTAACAGAAAAGCCCCGTCTCAAACAAAACAAAACCAAACCAAAAAATAAACCTAAAGTTGCAAGTTTACTTTTACAATCAAAAATCTTTAGTAAAATATTTACTAAGTTCTTAATATGGTATCAATATTGCATTGGGTGATAAGAAATCTAAAATTAGCAAATGGTCCTTGCCCTCAGGAAGCTCCGTCATTTGGCAATGTAGCACCCTGGGTCGGCACAACTGCGAGTATTGCAGCTATGGCATCCTAAGGGAAGTTAGAGATGCTGACTAATAATACCTTACAGTCCAGAGGAGCCCCACCACAAAAAAAAAATATCAAACCTAAAATGTCAAGAGGTAAGGTTGCAAAATGCTTGTCTGGATAAAGCTCCTCCACACTAATAATGTAGTACAGAGTATACATCTCTCAGTTCTGTTAAGGCTGACGAGTGAAGATCTGTTCTCCAATTCTTAGAAATGTCTTTTAGATTAACTATTTCACTTACAAAACGTGTTCGACATCTTCTCATGTCAACTAAGATTAACTAAATTAGGAAATGATTAAAAAAAAAAACAACCCAGATTTCTTGGAAACTGAGGTCTTACAACATGCTCATATTTATTTTCCCAAAGCAAAAAATGACTTGAGAAAACAAACAAAAAAAACCAAAACAAAACAAAAAGAAAGAAAAAAAAAGAATTCACAGGTCTAGGCAATGCTTCATGTGACTACCTCCACCCTAATAAGATACTTTAAATTCTAGGTGACGGTTTACAAACAAGTAATTTTAATATTGGGTCCTGTCCAGTAACTTCTCTCTGCAGTTGCTCCTACTGTTTTGGAATCTTTACTCTCCAACAATGGAGAGGTTTTTCCTTTTATTAAAGTTGTTCTTTGACAATTTCATCACCCTAGTTACGGTCACCCTCAACTTCTCTTATTTCACTTTTCTCAACACCCTCTTTCTGCCTACAAATTCCTTTCCCATATTCATGTCTCTGTTTTGTGATCCATCCTTCAGAACTATGCACAGAGAGCTTGGTGGGTTCACCAGTGTGTACACAAATGAGGACAATGACTACATTTTCCCCAAACTCTTTCAGAAGTCAGCAGTAGTGGGACCCCATGAGCCCCTCTTCCACCCACGACGGACTGTTCAGGGGGCCAAGCTGGGGCAGTCCCAGGACCGAAGAATTAGAAGATGGCCTTTCACAGCCCTTCTCCCCAGCTTCCAGGACTTACATTCCTCCTACAGCTTCTTGAGTGATGCTTCCCACACTGTTAGAGAGGGAACAGCTGTCTTGTCTGGGCTGAGCACTTACCTATCACCCATCTCAGCACCACGACAGCTGTAAATCTGCATATGTTAGGCTTTTGTCATTCTGTTGTCTTGTAGAGTCACTGGTCTTTTACTTTTAATTAATAACGCAAGGCAGATAATTTAACTGATCTGTTTCTTAAGTATTTCAAGTTGATAAGATTTATATAGTTAATAAACACTCAGATTTTATAGCAATGTGAACTGTAGTAAGGTTTGCCCAACTGGCAAATTGTATGTAAACATTCAAAAACACCAAGGGATATCTAATTTGTATGTAAAAATAAAGAAATATGATGAACTAAATTAAATATACTCACTACCCTTTTTGCCAGTCTTTGGCACATGCTAATTATTGTTTCAGCTATTCTACCCAGCCCACCTTTGACTCATAATTACTTCATTATATTCCACACATCACTTGGAAACATACTGCAGTTACATCTGAAGTTAGACCAAGAACTGTTACACTGAAAAACTTCAGTGGCCTCTCACAATCAGAATGCCCGAATACATAATAAAAACTAGACCTAAAACCCTATCAAGAGGTACAGATCACAGCCATCAATAGTATTTCTATTTCGAAGTAAGAAAACAAAAGGTGGTGTGTGGTTATCGCACTTGAGGCCAGGGGTTCAATTCTTAGAACCAAACGGGAAAAATCCTAAAATAAACCCAGGTCCCAAATGTTTTCAAAGGCTGTTGGTAAAGTAAATCCAGTCTTCACTCACTGCAAGGCAACTCTTCTCTCCTAGTACTTCCAACTGAATTCTACAGTCTGGACTACATCCTAAAGCCAGGGTTATGATACCACAGCTTAGGGAGCTGACACTCTCACAACGAATTTCTGTATCTCACCCATTTCTTTTCTTTTGCTAAATTGCTTTTCCTTAGGGTGGACTTCTTTCCTTGGCTTTACATAGAAATTGCCTGCAGGCTCCATTTTTTTTACTACCCCCAAGAGCTGGCAATGCTTTGATACACTAGCAAGTAAGACTAAACCTATGGAGCCGGTGTCTGTACCCCTAAACTACAAATGCACCATACTTATCAAACCTGAAGTCAGAATGATACTCTTTAATATGCCGGAGGAGAGTCAGAGCCTCACAGACATAAACAGTACTTCTAAAACTTAAAGACAAACTGTATAAAACTAAAGATCCTCTCCCCAAACAAGGAATACTTAATGAGACATTGATCCATTTCACAGACTTTCATTTAAACAACCTACTAGATTAACAGTGAGCATTCCAGGTCCTGGCAAATGACAGCTTCTTAAACCCATGGCACCTGGACAGTGGAGCTGTATGAAGTGCGTGTAGCTGCCTATTTCTGTGGGGAGCTGCTGACATGCATACTGAGCAAACCAGTCAGCAGTGTGCTCCCAAAGTCACCCCACGCCAGCAGTTATAATTATTTTAATTTACTGCTACATAAACAGTTTTTCAATGCCTGAAACCAAGCTGAACACCGAAAAGACTAAAAAAGCAAAGAAAAAAACCCTGTGGTTGGAACAGATACAAAGAAGACTCGTACTACAGGCAAATAGTAAAACTTTAGAATCCTATACTTAAGACTGTAAGAGTGACACTGTGAATGACCCAAGGCATTGCAGACAACAAGGAATCCCAGTTCCTAATTCCTAATAACAGAAGTACTAATTTCAGCCCTTGATGCCCCACTCTAACCAACTGATTAATCAGCAACCACTGGCCTTGGCTTCCCAGGGTTGCAGAGTTCTTACTGCGATGGTGAACACTATATATAAGGATTTAAATTAAACAAAAACTCCTGCAAAAATAGCATCCCATTTCTAAATATAATCCAGTTACAAAAAGGATACAAAATTTCTCTAACAGAACTTACCAACAGTGGCTCTGATAAGAGGAGAGGAATCACCAATATTATTTAGACATTCACTTTTGATAAAGTCCGTTACCCCGTTTGGGAAGTTCTGGAAATGAGCTTTCACATTATTCTTCAAGATCAGACCGCTCAGTGACCTTGTAGGCTCATCTGTGAGAAGCAGTAACAGAACTGAGTTCTAAAAGATTCCTTATTCCAAAAGGTACCAACAGCAATCACTTTAAAAGCACATATGTTGAAAGTTGATTCCAACATTCCAATTTCTTTCTGCTATAGCTGGTTTTAAAAATCACCAATTATCAAAAATCAGCTCAACAATTTATGGTTCAGGGTCTCTCAACTTTGGTACTGCTGACATTTTCAGAGTAATTTAATACGCTCAGTGGCATCTATGGTACCTATTCAGATGATGGCAATCTAAAAAATATTCTCAGAGAATGCTAAATGTCTCCTTGAAAACTACTCCTGAGCATCACAAAAATTCTTCCAGGTTGGAGAGGAAGGGAGTAAATATATATGACATATAGGATCACTTTCCTATAACACAACTGCCATGTTTTTTACTTGTCTACTGGGGAGAAACAGTAAAGCAAAACTCTCTCAAACCATTAAAAAACATGTTCAAGGCTCATAGTTCTCTCCTGAAAGAGGCTTAATTCACTGCTGATGCTAACAGGTGATACTAGACTAGCTGACATTTTTAAAGTTTGTTATACACCAACACTAGTACAAATATTACTGTAATCAATCCTTACACCCTTTCAAAGTAGGCAATAACCCAATACTTAGTTAAGAACTTGCAACCTGAGTCAAAAAAGGCTTAACGCCGGCCAAGTGTGATAAAATATACCTTTATTTCAAATCAGTGGCTTTATTTTATCTAGTTATTATTTCAGACTTTTAAATGATCTGAGCCTGGCAGTGGTGGCATATGCCTTTAATTTCAGCACTTGGAAAGAGAGGCAGGATTTCTAAGTTTCAAGACCAGCCTGGTATACAGAGTGACGTCAGGACTGCCGAAGATACACAAAGAGACTCTGCCTCAAAAAACCAAAAAATAAAAATCTAAAATTATCAATCAGGTGTGGTGGCATACATCTTTAATCCCAGAACTCAGGAGGCACAGGAAGGCAAAAAGGGTCAGCTTGGGCTAGATAGGAGAGGAAGGCTAAATAGAGACCCTGCCTCAAACGAAGTTACACGGGACCACTGGCTGGAAAGCCAAGTGGTGGCACCTAGCTCTCTGGGTCTCCCTACTCCGTACAAGATGCAGGAGCCCACGGGGCTGCAGCTGGAAGGGTGCTTAAGACAGAAAATCCAAGTAGTCCCCAGCACTCATAGAGGTTGGCTCACAATCACTTCTAACTTTATCTTCAGGGGACCTGTTGAGGGCAAACACTGACACACAAGTAGGAAAAAAAAGTGCAAAAGTCAATGTAATGTTTCTGCGGTGAAGCTGTCTTTTTATTAAAAGACAAAGTCATATTTCTTCTCTAAAGTGGACAGTCATAAGGCTAATAGTAGAAGCTGCCTGGCTTTCTTTCTTAGAAAAACTAGGTATGATAGTCCTCTGGGTTCAAGGGAGGTAAATTTATCAGTGGCATAAGAAGAAACAAAGAAGTTTTACACAAATACAGAATTCCCACTATATCCTTTGAAGAATACTAAGAAATAAACAAAATTAACTTGAGGTCAAAAAATGTGAATATCTTGCAGATTTATAATTTAATAGATCTGTGGGGGGGTTAGCTGTCTCTAAAATGTAAATTCTTCTCGTTATTTGAACTATGAAATTTTTAAAAGTATCTTTGCATGTCAAGAAATTCTTAACAAAAAATATAATACTGTAACAACTTATTTGTAAGTAGGGTAAGAAAAGGATAGAGTGTAAACAGGTTAAAATTTTAAAATAAAACAATTGCAGATCAGAATCTCATTTATAAATATTTAAATTCTTTTTAAAAAAGTGTGTGTCAGTCAGGTGTGGTGGCACACACCTTTAATCCCAGCACTTAGGAGGCAGAGGCAAATGAATCTCTGAATTTGAGGCCAGCCTGGTCTACAGAGCAAGTTCCAGGACAGTCAGGACTACAGAGAAACCCTGCATTGGGGGGTGGGGTTTGCTGCTCTACAAATGAACGACACCTCCAGTCAAATAATTATTGATCACAAATTGGTGTGTAAAAAGACTTTTCTATACTAAGAAAAACAATATACTCCTTAGTATTTACCAAAGCAGAATAGTAGTCACTGATTTTAAAGATAAACTAAAAGAACTTCTAGTTTAAAACCTAGATTTAGTTTAAATTTCTTATTATGTCCCTTGAACACAAAAGCCACAAAAGTAACTAGGAAATCATCTGAGAACAAATCCAAAGATTCACTAGAGTGTAGGTAAATTATCAAATCTTTACTTCCGTAATGTGCTAGAGGCTGGAGCTGAGATCTTATAGAATCTGGGTGTCCAGCAGGCATTTCCAACTGAAAGAAGCAAGAAGGTTACATGCCTTGGTGTCAGAGTCCAAACAGCTTACTTTACAACTCCAAGCACCGTGTTTTTACTATGGCTTTTGAAACACCCATTGCCAAATAAAGGAGAGCGTTCTCATTTAGAGGCCAGCAAACGGTCAATACTTATCTAAGTGTCTGCAGTGTTCCAGGAAGGGACATTCAACCTCAGTGTTATGATGAACACACCTCACTCTAATATGAGCTCAGTGAGGGCAATGATCATTATTTGTTTTAGTCGTATTTATTTCCCATGGCCTATAAATTGTCTGACAAAGAAATGGTGCTAATAAATAAGTAATCTGTGAAATAAAGTACCAAAGGACATGTGACATGGATTATAACCATCAAAGACTGTCACTTAAAAAGCAAGACTAGTTAGCCTTAAAGTACTGTAGGAATAACTTAAAATGAAAACTGTAATAGTTAATGACTCCATCATTTGTAAATAACTTTAAAATAGTATATAATCATAAATTAGAATAAAGTTCAGAGACAACAATTACCAGGTGGTAAAGTGCTTTCATTTTGGCTAAATAGCTTTTCAGGTTTTTTGTATAATGAACACACATATATTCAGTTAATTATTAAACCCTACATTCAATCTGTAAACTATTAAAAGCCAATCTTTGTTATACTCATGTATAAATACTGAAACAAAACACCAAGTCATACTGTGCACCACATTTTCTAGCTGAAAACAACAAAGGGACTTATATCGATTTCCAATCAGAAGAATTCTTATTACCCATCTAAACAGTAGAGGGGCAGTAACTACATCCATCAATCAGACGGCAAAATGAAATCCTCGGAAATGAATAATTCACAGTATGTAGATCTTAATGGTGATAAAAGATATTTTTAGTTATCTACACAAGCTCTACTTACCTTCAGATTTTAATTTTGTAAGAACAAAAATCAAGTAGTTGTTAAAATCTGGATATTGATTGAGTTGTTCCAGTTTCTAGAACAAATAGTAGTTAAGGAAACTTCTCTATATAATCTAAGAAAGAAATGAAGCATTTTTAAATCTAATAATAGATCCTTTCTGCAATATCTTTAGGCTTCCACTTTTTCTAAGAATAATATTTGCTTATTAAATCAAACCTGATGTTATTTATTTACAACAACACTAGTACTTATTTTACAAAACCAAACCTTTCAGTTCCTTCTGGCTAGATGCGCATTAGGTATATCCAATGAGACACAATGAAGGAAAAGTCTGCGTGACCAGCAAAGCAATGCATTTTCAAAGGCAGAGTGGGTAACTTACAAACAACCTAACCTAGTAAGTACTTAAGTACAGAAAGGCCAAAAAAAAAAAAAAACCCCAAAAGCATCTTTAGAATTTAAAAAGGATCAAATGCCATTTATGTCCATGTCTCCACATCAATTCTTTACCAGATCTGAAATCAGTCAAGTCAATCCCCTTTCACGCCAGGATGACACGTGAGGACACGAACTGGCAGGTAACAGTGACATAATGCTCTAAACCTTTCGAGCCCTGACTCTCAAATCAGTAGTATGTTTGCCAATAGTGTTTTATTGCACAAGAGATTAAAATGTTTTTTACTGAATAAACCCAAATTTTACATATCAGAAATGGCCTCAAAATGCCTAGGATCAGGTTGTCAATTCTAGCAAAAATATACTTTAAAACTCCAAAATATAACTACTTTCTCCAAGCCCAAAGATTTTTAAGTTTTGGTGTGTTAATGTTAATAATTTTTATAGATTATTTTCTGATAAAATGTATTCTCATACAAAACACACACATACATATATGTAAGTATATCTGTATTAACAGTCTTCCAGGAAGTGCTTAAACCCATACAAAATAAATCTGCTCTCTGCTAAGCAGACACAAAAGAACAGGCCATCACTGGCCTCTAAAATCCCTTCAGCCTCCCTAGTGCTGGGGTTAGACAGGTGGCACGACCATGCTTGATTAATTTGTTCTTACTCAGGGAACATAACACACTCTCAATACACAGAATAAATTACAATGACTACTGGGCTGGCCCAACTTGGTATATAATAGGTATTTAAAACAAATTAAAATACTTAGTGCTACAGAAATTACAATGCAATCCTGGAGTTGTCTAATTTTAGAAGCCAATTATTTTGTAAAACAATACCGACATTTTTCAACTTCTAACGAGAGCATAAGTGAAGATTTATCTACAGCGTGGTTCAGATGAAAGCGCCACTATACCCCAAACTACTATTTTCCTTAGTCTTAAAGGTATTCAAACAAAATGGCTTTTTAGAACAATCCAAGTAGATTTGTCACTGTCCCATCCATTTTTAATCGGGCACTGTCATATTCGGTCATCTATTGGAAGGCTGAGGTTACAGCACTGCAGTACTTCTTTGACACCTTCTAATAAGTTTACTTCTGTGGTGTTTTAAAATGAAATAAACTCAAATGCCAGCTTATTTACCAAATTACCTATTAGGTGATTTTGCTGCTTACTGAAAACAGTAACAGGAGAATTTGCTGGGAGCATAGCAGACCTAAGTTCTTAAAGGAATGAACTTGCTTGGACTTAACGGGTTAACTGGCTGCGATCTGCGTGTTCGTTCCTTCTGGAGCCTGCATTGAGCGCTCCAACCGTGCATCCTGCAAATGCACTCACTACCTTTCTCTCTCCAACTGTGGCAATAGGACCGCTACGCCGGCACTCAGCACCCAGGAACCTGGGGTAACTGAAGTCCATGCTTGTGCCAAAGCTTTACCCCGCAGACCTTACTGGAGCGCCAGGGAGTCCGCAACAGGTGTTAATGGAGCACTCCCGAGCCGCCAGCCTCTCAGGCGCGGCTGGAGAAAGCCCCGGGCCTTCCCGACAGTTCAAACCCCGCGCCAGCTCCACCCCCGG